ATCCCGGGCCCAGACATCCCAGCTCTGGGAAGCCGGGGTGTCCCGGCAGTTCCTGACCCCCCTGGCAGGGACCGAGGGCTGCTAACCCTGCTCGTTTTGGCACAAGCCGTCCGATCCACAGGAGCGCTGCGAGGCTTTAACGCTTCGAGCACAGCATCACTTCGAAGGGGGAATCCCAAAAATGCCTCCGCAGCCGGGGTCAGCTTTGAAAAGCAGCGAGGTGTCTTCTGCAACGCCAGCGCCACCGGCCCCGGCCTGGCTCAGGCGGCGGGTTCGGTGCAGGCTGCCCCATCCCGCGCTTACCCGGCGTAGACCAGCAGGGCCCAAACTCCATCCCAGGAAGGTGCAGGCAGCTGTTGGGCGAGGGCTGTGGCGTCTGAGTCTCTGGAGAGCTCAGGCCTGGCTGCGCTGAGAAGTCTCGACCAGCTGAACTCTTCCAAGGCACAAAGCTGAGCTTGAATCGCGGCGTAGAGTATTTGTCTTAGAGGAAACCTGAGCGTGACCCTGTGGGACCTGCCGTAAGAGAGCAAACACTTGGGGTCCTTTGATAACCAGCTTGGAAGGGCGACTGGAAACAGCCGTGTCCCGCCAAGACGCACGTCAGCTGTCAAGTTCACAAGACACCGTTACAACACACGAGAAGGGAACGACTGGGTACGTACGGTAACGAGCCGCCTTCGTCAAACCCCATTCACCAGCGCTGTATTGATGCCCGCGCCCGCCTCTGCGCCGCGTCACACGCGCAGTCGCCGTGGAGGGAAGCCCCGCTGTCGCTTCAAATAAAGACTGATTTCACCACTTCCTTGAATTTGAAAAATACCCTTTAATCGCCAAAGGACACGCACTCAGAGAGACCTCTGCTTGAGCCTGGCCAGCGTTAGAGTCAGCCTGGGATCCCCCCGGCAAACCGAAGACAGGACGTGATTTTAAATCACACTGGGGGTTATGGCGGGTCTCGCGCAGCCTCATCACGCAGCCTTTGCGCGTCACCGGGACCCCACGGGCGCGGAGGAATTGAGAGTAGCGTGAGTAATGGTACACACACAGCAACTACAGCTGGTGGGCAGCAATGACACGGGGGTTGAAGGGCAGTGCTGCAAAGAGACATGAATAATTGCACGGGAAAAACGGAGTTTTAGGCGGAGATCGGTACAGCGAGACTGGACTTTCCGTTCTTACGTCGCTGTCACCGGGACCCCACGGGCGCGGAGGAATTGAGAGTAGCGTGAGTAATGGTACACACACAGCAACTACAGCTGGTGGGCAGCAATGACACGGGGGTTGAAGGGCAGTGCTGCAAAGAGACATGAATAATTGCACGGGAAAAACGGAGTTTTAGGCGGAGATCGGTACAGCGAGACTGGACTTTCCGTTCTTACGTCGCTAAAAGGGGCTGCCGTCAAGATTTCTTGTTTCTGCAGCGCAACAGGGGTGGTCTGCTCAGGAACCTGGTAAGGTGCTACACAGCAGCTCAAACATTGAAGCAACTCTATTGGACAGAGTCCTGACAGCTCTTCCTGAAATCGTTCTTCTCCGATCCTCTCAGTGCTTACGGGCCGGAGAGACACTACTCCAACCGCGCACGTAGCGGTAACCCACAGGGTCTCGCAGGCGGCAGCTGGCACCAGCGATCACTCCTGGCCTGCCGAAACCAGAGCGCCACCTACAACTCTGCAAAGCTCTGATGATGTTTCGCCACGCTCAGGCAACACGTGGAAAAAACACACCATTCAATGCTCGGGCACAGCAGTGAACAGAATCCAGACACGGCCTGTTAAAAATATCGCAGTCGCCCTGTGCACAAGCTCCTATTTATATATCTTTGTTTTGCAGAAGAAGTCAGAGAGAGCTGAAATCTGATTACGGAAGACGAGGCAATTCGGGGTGAATTATCACAGAACATTTCCCTTCCAAGGCTCTTACAGCTCCAGGTATGTCCCCTCTATCAACTACGGTGCCGGCCAGTCAGCAGCTTCAGCGCCACCGCTCGCTCCGCTCCTTTTCCTTCTGGGTTTCACAGCATCCCACTTGGGTACGACGTCCTGCTGCCGCGAGGAGAGACGCCCCGGCACTTGCGCGTACAAGAACGCCCGCGTCATCGCGTCCTTCGTCTGGGATCCCAACCCGGCTACAGCCGGCCACGGCGGTTGGCGCTGGATCAGCCCGTTGTGACCAGTCTTAGCGACAACAGCTGTTGAGCTGCGGGTGAAAGAGT